GTACATGAACGGCCTCTGTTTGATGATGACATGTGTATATGTTTTTATTATTATCATTATTAATGAGGTTTGCGTCCAATGTCCAATTCAAATGATGTTTTTGACCAATTATTTGTGGTTCCCTTGACACAATGTAAAAGCATCATATCAAGTAATTTCTGTTTACATATGTATGTTTATTGCGACTGCCGTCATTTTGAATTGAATCAATGTTTAATAAAACATGAGTGGTTCCTTTGTTAATTGAAACTATATGGTGTCAGTTCATACACAGCGTCAGATATTGTTCTACACATGTTTATCTGTATGTTCCGCCACGACGATACAAAACTAACGGTATTGGTACGCATTGTTGACAACAACCCCTTTTCTAGCCCTCGCAACAGTCAGAATCCTACGTAATACAGACACAGACAACCAACATTTCTCTTCAACAGTACTCTTTATTCCCACCCACATTTAGCAATAAACCTATTTTCGTGTTCTCAGCCAATATTTTAAATGGATTTCGCTCAGTCATCCCCCTACACACTTGCAAAAACCAAGTTTAAATCTTCAAACATTGTACATTTGGTATATGTAATTCGTAGTTTCAATTTATCAAAAGCCACTGAATAAATAGATAAATAAATGAATAAACAGATAGGGCTTACTTTTTTTGATTGATTTAGTGATAATTGTCAATACATGAAAGAACATTTAATGAACATTTCATGAATATTTAAATGNCCCCCCCCGCCCCATTCCCGACCACCCCCTCAAGAAAACTTCGACATTTTCCTGTAATAACGTACAAAGTTGCTACGCAGTTTGTAATTGTCTAAAGTTGTTTCATCAAGTAGAGTATAAAATGGTATACTTAAGGGGTGTTTTTGAAAGTTTAATCACAAGTTTTACTTCACTTAAATAATGTGAAATTTAACGTTTTGCCATCAACATTTTTACAAAACTTCACACCTTTGAGAAGGTAAATTGTCAAATGTTCATCATTAATATTCAACAGCAAAAAATGTTTCACGTAAGTGTCCCCAGGAAATGCTGGCTGGCAACTGATAACATTTGACAAGAATCATTTGATCAACACATCTAGATGATGGAGAGGTTGACTCCGTACGCATGCTTAACGGATGTCTCTTTTACCCAGTTCGGTAATTATTGCCTAATTTTAACCTAATGAACATCTTAATACACTTGTTGCTGCATTACTCACTTTAACTCTAGTCTCAGTTCGCACTTGTTATCCTTAGGACCCTTGATTAAACCCCCATAAGTCCCCACAGGATTATGCTGTATACTCACTTCCTGCCCCTGTCTCTTATTCATATTTCCCGCCATTTTGTTATTCTCCGACTGTCTACATCCGGGCATCACCTGACCATAATCCGAACTCAGAGTTAAGTCAAATAGCTCTTACAAAACACATACAATACGAAAACATCATCATCCATTCTGATCATCTCCTTCTTTTGGATCACAAATAAAGCCTCACAAAGAAATCCAGTACGAAAAACCCACTTACACACTAAGTAACCAAACTTAAAGATGTCTCACTATCGATTTATCCATCAATTATTAATAGACCAAGACACAAAACAATTTGACAAATAAGCAACTATCTACAATTCATTTTTTGTGTAGATCATCTGACACTGAGGAATATACTTGTCAAAGGCCCCCAAAACCCCCATGAGGGTCGTGTGGGAAAGCAGTAACGGAGAGGTCCAGTGTAATATGTTGTAACACATTGAAACATGGTTAAAAATACAATATCATCACATGACTATTTCCCGTACACGCATTATAATGTAACAAAGTTACAAAGACATGCTGTTTCCCACTGCATATCCTCTTATGTGGGGGCTCCAGCATAATCGATGGTTTTCTTAGGAGTCTTCTATATGTACCTGGAAATACCAAAGGGTCAAACATAAATCTACTGCCTTAATTGCAACTATTCGGATTTTACTTCGTTTGTCTTCTCTACTCTTTCGTTTCGGCGTTGTCTTCATAGACACCCGTTTCATATGACATTGGCTATTTTTTAAGCCGCAGATAAACAAACAAACCAAACCAATGCAAGAGCAGCAGATAGTTATAATACAGTCACAATATCAAGTTTATTCTCGCCCGTTTTGTTCTGACCGATTGTTATTGTTGTCACTGAATAGAACCAATATTGAATAAATTATTAAAAGTGCTTCTTTTGTTGCTTCAGTTTGTATGGTGTCAGTTTGTATGGTGTCAGTTAGCTAAAAACGACGGATATTGTTATAGAAATGATTACACGTAGCAGCATGCTTGTATTTCATTTATAGTTCAACAAGTGCCTGTGCTTCATGTAGAGTTAAACAAATTGTTTGGTCTATATGTCACACTTCTACAGGATATATATACGAGTAGTTGTGAATCACAGTTTCACAGACCGACAAAATCACTGAACACACTTTGTCAATATGTCTAAAAGAGAAACTACAGGACTTTGTAAGGTTTTTGTTTAAGTACCATAATTGTTTTTAATGAATTTTGCTTCATATGTGTCACAGGGTCATTATGATCTAATTTCTTGTATTGTTATAAGTAGTCTGTTGTGTGCTGTCTTGTTTGTCACCTGTGTGTCGTAATGTGGAAAGTACCTTGTTACTATTTATAGCTCAGGGTGGTGTCCTACCCGCGTTGTGTCGTGGTCGTCTCTATATGTTCGTATTTGATGTTGTTAATGAGTTATATGTAAATTAGGGTGTGAGTTTGTAAGAAAGCATGCAAGTGTGAGTGAGAGTAGTAATAAAAGCAATAATACACTGCGCTAATTTGCAGTTGGCCGTTTGTCGTGAGGTGGAACGTATCATCTGTGGTCCCGCCTGCACAGTCCAGCCGTACTCGTAAAGAGTGACTATATAGACATGATTTTACCGGACCTTGACGGTCTCGGAAGTTTTTTTTCCTGTATGAATCTGCAATGATACTCCGGTCATAGTAAATTCGACTCAAACCAACAGGACGTGTGGAGTTTTTATTCAATAAATGTCATGTGACATTTGGCGTCCACGTAGGGACCAGAGCAGAGGAAAACGATGAACCCCAGTGGCTTAGAGCGGATCTCGGCGATATGATCATCTGTAGCGCTACCAACAAATTTCTAATATTGCTGGCCACAGGAATGCAGTATATCAGTCAACGGATGTGATACTGTGAAATATATAAGCCTTGGCTTTATTGTAACAACATTTGTGTTCTACGCCGTCGTCGTGCGAATACACGTGTAACATAAAGTAGTAACCGAACAGCTGATGCACATACATTTTGTATGTTAAAGCGTCCCTTTGAACTCGACCGGAACGGAAGTGGAGGAACCATGCGGACAGTGTTGTGATACTTCTCCGATAAATATGGACTTGCATGCGTTTTAGATTGTTGAAAATTGTGTAACTGTATTATCATTCAGTTAATACGAATTATGAAGGATAGGTTGTCATAGGATTGATGTTCTGTTCAGATCTAGGTGACGTTCCCTATTGGTTAGGCAGCTGACTTGGACGGGGTCTACTTGACGTAGTGTGTAACAGTTCCATTTCGTTTTGGTTAACATAACGCGATACATTACGGAAAGTCGCGAGGTGTGAGAAGTGTGAAGTGGAGAGTTTGTATATTGAGATATCCTTCGTGTTACATGTTGAATGTTAAATATTGAGTGTTATATGTTGAATGTTTTATGTTATTTGTCTCGTCATTGTTTGTGTTCTAAACTAAAAATTATCATTTGACAGATATTTATAGCATGCAGAACAGTGCACATATCTGGTACTGTGCATTGTGTGTTTCTGGATTAGTTGTTGCTCTAGCACAGCTGTTCTCTCACAGAATTTACAGATTCCAGGAATAGAAGATTACCACAGAGATTTGACCAGTTTGTGATGGAACAAATTGTCGAGGATGACCGATTGTTAGTGTAGAAAAAATAATTTTAAGTTTTCTTAATCATTTTAATATTTTTAGGGTTAACTAACACTTTTTGGTTATTTCAGGCATTGGATAAGGAATTATTTCCTATTGTAATGTTCCTTTGAAGTAAAATGCCGGGACGACATTTACCCGACAGGGGGAGTGTGTCACAGGGTCATTATGATCTAATTTATTGTATAGTTATAAGTAGTTTGTTGTGTGCTGTCTTGTTTGTCACCTGTGTATCGTAATGTGGAAAGTACCTTGTTACTATTTATAGCTCAGGGTGGTGTCCTACCCGTGTTGTGTTGTGGTCGTCTCTATATGTCCGTATTTGGTGTTATTAATGAGTTATATGTAAATTAGGGTCTTTTTAAGAAAGCATGCAAGTGTGAATGAAAGTAGTAAGAAAAGTGATAATACACTGCGCTAATTCGCAGTTGGCCGTTTGTCGTGAGGTGGAACGTATCATCTGGGGTCCCGGCCGTACTCGTAAAGAGTGACTATATATACATGATTTTACCGGACCTTGACGGTCTCGGTAGGTGTATTTTTCCTGTATGAATCTGCAATGATGCTCCGGTCATAATTTATTCGACTCGAAGTTTTTATTCAATAAATGTCCTGTGACATATGGAACAATATAAACTCGGTCAATTGAAGGGAGCGTTCTTCCTGTTAGAATGGCTAAAATCTGCTAGAAAAGCTTGTCACCGAACTCATCCGAGATATATTCAACAGGATCCCAACCAACTTTGCATTTGTCGTGGTTTTTTTCAGGAATAATCTCCAATATAATTTGTATTTATAGTTTAAAGTTACCGTTCGTGGAAATGACTACTCTTATAATAGAAGAACAAATATTGCTTCCATTTGTTATGTTATACAGAACACCCATGCTCAAGTTCGCACTAAGATAATGTAAAGGGACATTTTAAAAGGGCAGTTTTGACAAAACATGTTTAGTAATTAATGAAAAAAAAGAAAAGATCAATAAATGAAAGAAAAAAAGATTCAGTTAGTCGTCGTATCACTCGAATAGTCGTATAACCTGCGTTATCCTATGCTTTCTTCACCATCATTCTGACTGTTTTAACAGCTGTGTACTCCTCCTCGCCAGATCCATAGAGGTATTTCCAGACCATCGACGCATAACCATTGTTTGATGAGTAAGTGCCGAACAGATTGGAGTCATAGCACGCACCGTACCACCATGCCCCATGTGCATTACTTGTACACTTGCCACCATCGAGATCATCATTGTCATTATCAAAGGTGGAGAAACGCCAGTCATTATGGTCAGCAAGGGCGTCAACTATAAGTAAATATACAAAAAGTCCTTTCATTAATAGGTAGTTAAATGCATCTTTTGCGTTATGCTTCAATAAATATAAAATAATAGAGATATTCTTGTTTGTGCCTTAATTTTTGGTTAATTTATAAGACAGAAGATACTGTCAAAATAAGAAAGAAAAAAAAATGCAGTTTTCATTTCTTATCCAGAGACTAGTAATTTTACCAAAATAATAAAAAAAAAACAGTAAAATGTTCGAAACATAGTTTGGTGTTTTATTCCAAGACCGTAACGCTTTACACTTTGAAGTTTTTCTGGAATATTTCGTTTGAAAGATAAAACATAACATACAACACAACAAATCAACAGCACATACAAAATAGGTCTGTTTACAGACTTAATGCGTTCATTCGGGAATGTCAACTTACACAGATCGTCTGGGGTGCTAAATCCTCCGATCGTCAATCGGTATTCAGAAGCCTCGTCAGAAACGTAGAAAGTATGGTATTCTACATGTTTAACAGAGCCACTCCACCCTTGTAGTTCAATCCGAAGCTCCATATCTTGGGCCAGCAGGAGCCGCAAATTCTCGAAACCTGACATATATAAATATATATTGACATATAAATATTGATTGTCTTTTTACCAATTATAATAATAAAACATATCACCTTTGCTGATTTGACCGTTTAAAACACAAGTTGCAAACCACAACGAGAATAGATCCCGACATTATACCAATGGCTACAATATTCCAAGCCTGGTTAGCTTAACGATTCGCAGACCTCAAGATAGCCCGTATGAGGCATTATCCCATTATACTGCCCAGATTAATCATCTGTTACCTACCATGGGTGAACTATAATCTGGGAAAACACAAACTTATATTCGCCAGCAGACTATGTAGGCCAACTTTTCTGATCATTTGATTTCAGGAAACTTGTGTCAACTGTAGCACAGTGTCAGTGTCTCAACGCGATTGACAGAAAGTATCAGAAAACCAGTGTGATCGCTTGACAGTAACAGTGATTAAGGTCAATTTACAAAGGTTGTGTTGTTATTTTATCATCAAAAAGTGGTGAAAAAAAGAACTCTACATTTACTCCACACCCCACTCTTTAAGATTCGGCGCTTATCAACAACCAGTTGATAAAACGGGCCTTTTATTAGATAATTAAATAACGATAGCATTTCGGCATACTTTTTTGAAAGTTTGAACAAAAGTACCTAATTTGTTAAAATAGATAATAAAAAGAGTTTTTATATTTTATTATTTTTTCCAGAGACATACAAGTGGTCTAACAGTGTCTTCTGTAATACCAAACATCTTTCACTCGTGAGGCTAATATTTTGTTTTTATTTTCACTTATTTCAGCAGACACTGTTAGATATCCTCTGTATCATTATTGTATAAACCTATATAATTTGTATGATTAGCTACATATCACTGATGAATTTGATATTTTTCATCATTTTTTAAAATAGAAAACAAGATGTTTGACATTTCCAAAAATAAAAGAAGATAATTATATTCATACAAAACGAGCTGTTTTTCCCATATTTCTACGTCAATATTCTTTTTTCTCCTAAATAGATTGTTTGATTACAATAATATGGTATCATACCTAGCCAGAACTCTCCTGACAAACTTCCGAAACCATTCTTGTTTTCACTCCATGGTTTGTAGAAGTCAACTGATCCATCATATCTGCTCAGGATGACCTGAAGATTTGTGTAAGTATACAAATGAATATACAACGTCACTTAGATAATGATCGCCTCTCTCACTTTAAAAAACAACATTTTCGTATACGAATTGTATATACAAATTCGACGATTAAGATCTTTTCATATTATTATATTACAAAATTAAACATTGAGGTCACATAAACAAGGGGCCCATAGGGCCTGTATCGCTCACCTAGATATCTAAGCAATCATGGCAGAATATTCTCAAAATGATATCCATGGGAATATGCCAGACTCCAAGGCCAATCCTTGTAGCATATATATCTGTATTCGATTGTTCATACCCAGCAATTTTATGTATGGTTATGGAGTGGGGATCTTAACTATTGCCAAGCTGTGACTAAGAAACTAGGTCCCTAGGGGTTTGGTCAGACCCCAGGGTCTATTCTAATATCATGACTGCATTCGTCTCTTTATGCCCAGCATTTGTATATATAGTTTAGGGTGGGGATCTCAGCCGTTTTTAAGTTATGGCCCAAGGACTTTGTTTCCAATGGTGGGGCCATACCCTAAGGGGGTCAGCCCTACCATTTGTACAATTTTGAATCCCTGCATCCCATGAATGCTTTTGATGAAATATGATTGATATCCAGTGCATAGTTCTACAGAAGAAGTCGTTTGTAGAAATATAGCCAAATTACCCATTTTTGGCCCCGCCCCTCAGCCCCCTGTGGGGTCAGCCTCACCATTTGTACAATTTTGAATCCCCACCACCTAGGGATGCTACAAGTCTAATATGGTTGATATCCATGACTAAGTTCCAGTGAAAAAGTTGCTTAAAGCAATATAGCCAAATAACCCTTTTTGGCCCCGCCCCTCAGCCCCCTGGTGAGTCAGCCACACCATTTGTACAATTTTGATTCCTTGCATCCCATGAATGCTTTTGATTAAATATGATCGATATCCAGTGTATAGTTCTACAGAAGAAGTCGTTTGTAGAAATATAGTCAAACTACCCCTTTTAGGCCCCACCCCTCAGCCCCACTGGGGGGTCAGCCCAACCATTTGTACAATTTTGAATCAATGCTTCTAGTCTAATATGGTTGATATCCATCACTTAGTTCCAGAGAAGAAGTCGCTTAATGCAGTTTAGCCAAATTGCCCCATTTTAGCCCCGCCCCTCAGCCCCCTGGGGGGTCAGCCCCACCATTTGTACAATTTTGAATCCCCACCACCTAGGGATGCTCCCAGTCAAATTTAGTTAAATTTCAATCAGTGGTTAAGAAGAAGTCAATTAAAGAAATTGTTGACGGACGGACGGACGACGGACGCTACGGTATGGCACTAGCTCACCTTGGTCCTTCGAACCAGTTGAGCTTATAATATAGATCGGCCATTATTATATAAATATATTGAAAGGTCATCAGCATATAATTCCGAATGGCCAAATGTCTACGATGGGGCATTCCGAACAGCTTACCGTCCATGGTCCCCCATCTGTTTCCATATCACAAAGCACATCAGGACTGTAGCTAATTGTCAGGGTGTATGCTTTTGAGCAATAGACAGTTGGAATATCTCCACAGTTTTTCAGAGCTTTATTGGAATGAGAAAAAATGAAACACAAGTCGATATGCACAAGTGTTTACATACTTAAAGTATACATTGAGTCAGGAAGAACATGATTGATCTGCAGACCCCATTGCAAAATCACATTTTCATACATATTGGTTGTTTTTTCTTACACCTAACCCTTATGTTCGCTTGTGTCTCTCTTTGTACCTGTCTTCACCTTTGTTGTTTTTATGACGTTATTAACCACTGACAAACGAAAAAATCATCAATAAACAGCTATTTAGGGTTATACACAGTTAATGTTTCTTTCCATCTTATTTACAACGTAATTAGACTGGATTATTTCATGCTAGGGGTGGGTAGCACTATGTAATACGTGATATCGTATGGATTGAACAGGATGAGATCTTCTGGCGAACTATGTACTGTTAACTGATCGCAAATCAGAGTTATGGTAATGAAATCCCGTAAAATTGCTGCACATAAAATGTTTTCACTAATTTATTAGATACTAATATTTGTTTTCAATAAACTTTATTTAAATAAGTTGCACCGGGATGAAATAGGTAAGCCACGATTTTGCAACGAGTCAAGGAGCTGTTACCATTATCAGTACTGGTTTAGCACATACTGACCTAACTTTAAGTGAGGCAAACAACTAATTTTCGAAAGATCGCGAGGACTTGGTTTACATATCAGGGTGTGAAAAACTATTCAAATTCTAGAGAGGGCTTGTCTTTTGTGATATTTTCAAAGGTGAGATACTAAGGTTTTCTTAATATTAGAAATCGCGAATCGGTTGTTTGAAAACAGTGACAACCCGAAACGATCGTCTGAAATGTACATGGTATGTCTCTGTTTCAATTTCAGTTATGTGGTATGCAGGCTTGGCAACATTTGACAATATTCATATATCGGAGAGCTTAAGAAAGTACGTGAATGTACGATTTGGCAGGGATTGTATGTTGTAATAAGCATTTTAGTCACAATGGTAAAATCAACCCCTATGATATACTGATTCAAACAAGTTTTTAGCAAGTCTTAGCGTTTCATTGGACATGAGTGTGACTTTAGAAAATAGTACTTCCATTTGACATTTACCTTTTTTAATTAACTCTTTGCGCATCATTTGGAAATGATGGGAATGATGGTTAACTGGAGGCGAAATGCTATACATCCTACGACAAAGTTAATCAGCAGATAAAACCGAACACCTGTGTCGGTTCTATACCAGTGAAGATTGTGTACTTGCCTGGGTCCTTTCGTTGTACAAGAAACCCATCCCCTCCCAATTTGAATATAAACTATTGGCCCATTACTCTATTAATGTTTCTATTTGTGTCTGTTTAATGTTTGTAAATAGCCCCATCCGAATGATTTCATTGAGTTGAAATAACAATGAATATCTTGCTTTGTCTTGGTATTGTTTTTATAGTTATCATATACGCTGGCATTTCGTAAGGTGAATACCAGCGATAATTGACATTTGAAACTCTGACATTTATTTAATATTTTATAAACTGACCGTTGTTTTTCATGTACATGAAAGTCAGAAAATATGATGAAGACCATCAAACGTTTTTTTTTATAATCTTAAACAAAACAACATCTCTTCAAATTTTGAGTTTCAATTTTCGCTGAAACATGTAACATTGACATCGGAAAATCGTGGAAATCGTGATTTTTAGACAAAAAGTCTAAATATTGTAACAACGAATTGACTGCCACATATTAACAGAAATGCAACGCTCATAAGGTGAAAATCAAAATCGCCACGTTTGCGTTTTAGATATACACAAAAAGACAACCTCTTGAAAAACAGTCGACGGAAAAAAATCAGATGAAGAAAACACTTTTACCTGCAAGTGACCTTTGTTAATCTTAAAAGTGGAGTTTTTTTAGTTATCTTAGGCCCTGCGTTCTGGTAGCAGCTTACCTCATTAAAGCATTGCTTTGCTTTCAATTGGTATCCATACACATTATCAAAGCCATCTGGACAAAGGCACATACATAGTCTGCTGGATAACCAAACTAGGCGGTAGTGAAGCGGACGTAAAACCAGTCAATCAGGCACATTCATGTATCGTTCTAGTGTTTCATGTTTAAATTGCCTCTGTCCAAACGGCTTGAACGGCAACCAAAAGCAGCTCAAGATTATATGTTTGCAATGTTTATTCGCTTAAGTTTGTTCGATGAATAGATCAACTGTCCGCCCTCGGTCAGTAATACACTACGTTACAATTTATGTCTGCAAGATATTAACAATCAATATACTAAGGGACGTCTCACCCCCACCCCTTACCAGGACTAAGGATGGTGCCCATCATTTATCGCACTTTCAAACAAGTTCGGAGTGTGGCACAGCAGGTCTATCGCAGGTCTTTACTTTTCCAAAACTACTACAGGTAAGGAATCGATGCTTAAAACATGAAAAAACCTAACACTGTTTACATTTCTGTTTATCATAACAACGAATGAACATGTAATACACAAACCCAGAGTTTATTCATCCGAGCAGACAATCTTATTAAAAATGTACAAACCCCCAACACACAGGGGAAATTATGTTAGGTGATTTGTTCTATATTTATATATTATGTGGAAGTCAACTGTTTTAAATGTCACCGGTTGCTGTCAATGTAGATATTAAGGATGTAAATCACACGCAATAACAATGCTTAACAAGTTGTGTCTGATATATTAGCAACCTTTTAATCAGTTTTGTGTACTGAGTGTCTACTGGCATCAATATTTTAAATGATAACGTTATTATGGAACTTAATCATATACAAAATGTGAGGTGGCTAAGTACATCACAAACAAGGGAACCATGCACGAGGCGTGTAGAGAGAGAGACATATTGAATTCGTTTTCTGCAGCAACTACTTTATATCGTATAAAACAGAGTCAAAATCTTGTTTTTGTGTCGGGATAATCTCTCTGTTTACTGTCTTTTTATGTGACACAAATAGTATCCACATATTCTCACCTTCATTCAAGTCTTTGACCTTAAATATTTAAATAATATATTTTGTTTATCTTTGCAACTCTATATCTTCTTTTGATCATGATGAATTATGTATGTTTTTGAAGTTCTCAGGATTTCAATTTCTATGAGATACACTCTGATTGTTTTCAAAGAACTGTACGATTTTTTTTATGTCATCGCTAATGCTTAGGTTACTACTTATGAAAAGTGTTTCATATAATCTACACCATTTGAAGATCATCAGTAGAATTTAAAAAAATACTGGTCTCCCCTTAAGAATTAAAGAAAAAGGAATGATAACAAATGCACATCCAGGTAGACCTACACATCAGCCCTTGCATAACAAAAACCCCAAAAAACGAATGTTGGTATTTAGGTAAATGACAAGTGTATGTAGTGTGTATGTCGTATGCATATTGCTGGTCTTTACTTATATTATGGACGTGTATGTGTAGACTGAATTTGGATGTAATATATCAAAATACATTGTATGGATATATGCACATACATTGTAGGAATGTCTTAGTATTTAGAATGTTTTGTACGTTGACAGGCATACATGGGTTTATATGTGTGTGTGATGTACATAACTAATGTAATATGTAAGTGATTTGTATCTGTATGTGAGTGTATGCATGTACAATTATGTGTGTTGTATGTATCAATCTTTTAATATTGATGACGTCTCTAGTGATTAATAAGAAAGTGTATGTAGTTTTAAAGTTATAATGTACTAACAGTATGTTATTTCACATAATTGTATAAAACACTGTAAAATTCGAATGACCTTCCATACAAGTTTAAGTACATATATATATATTTTTTTATGAAGAATCTTCTAGAAGAGATGAAAGTACTAAAGACTCGTTGTTGAGAATTTTTCTTTTCATAAGATATATACATATATATACATTTAGGTTTAAATTGGTAAGTACATACTTATTTGTTAATTTTTTTTCAAACAACAATCTCTGAGTGATGCAGCAAATGAAAAAAGAAAAAAAAGATATACTCATATTTATTATTTTCAGTGTCATCTATTCGGTTTAACAGGTCTACATTTGAGGACAATAGCAACCCCAAATCAGAACAGCAGGATTGTTTACATGTAGATGTATTTATATATATACAATGTATCTATCTACTTTCAATATTTGTATCAGAAAACGAATTGTTCGGATGATTCAATACTGTATATGGGGAAACTTTCGCCGCAGTTTTACTTTCGCCCCTTTGGCCTTCCGATCTGAGGGCGAATTTAACATGACGGCGAAAGTTTAAAAAGAAAGTACGAATACGAATATTTCGTCTACACTGGAGCTGACTCAGATACAGTATGTGATTCAATTGGGGTCGAGTGTGTTCCACTGTTAGCGGTGTAGGGTGAATTTAACACTGGTCGAATAAGGACTCTGCCGGTGTAGGGCGAAAGTTTAACGGGGCGAAAGTCTTCCGGTATACAGTATATAGTTTGCATGAGAGACGAAAAGAAAGAGAAGAGTGAATGAAGGGAAAGAGGCGATGCAGCGTGAAAATGTGTGATTTTTTTTTTCACATATTGAGTTGTTTTAACCTATTGGCACGCTACAGGGCATCCTGCATGAGTCTACATGGTTGTAAATGAATGAACTCGGGGCACCCCATTCCTGACATCGTTCTTACCAAAATGTAAGGGAAATTGGGAAATACAATCTAATTTAAAAATATAATATATCAAAATAACAAATCATGAGTTATACTTTTGTTTAACGTAACAACAGAAGGTTATTGCAATTCCAACTACCTCTTTCCTTTTATTGCTGAAATTTATTGATGATGTTAGATATCATATATTTCAATACAGTAAAAAGAGATTCAATAACAACCCTTTAGGTTCGAGTAAGGAATAAGCCTTTTATTTCCCGCTGCATCTTACCATACAAAGCGACTTCTGAGGCCCCCTGCAAAATCGGGAGTTGTAGTCTGTGTTCTACTTAGGGGATAGAAAACTAATAAGATGCTTCATTTGCAACATACAGATATATGCCATTTCCTTTATCCCTTTCTGACTTTTTTAATTTTTCGTTGATTCCTTCTCAATACCCGTATTCTCCTTAGGTAAGATGTTGCGAGGACGTTAAACCACACAAGAACAAACTAAGTAACAATTCAAATACGAAATAAACAAGCAATTATTTGATAATTTAATAATTCGATAGAGGGAACCAAATAAAACATTCGTCAAATGGCATTTAGGACTCTCACTGATACTTGATGTTAAAAAAAAAATCCACAACATACTTACAATCAAACAGGACTACCTTCGTGTAGAATCTGAGTGATGATGACCCGACACCGTCGTCCCTGTAACAAATCTCCTCCCCATACGTCTTACATTCCTTTGTGACGGAGTTGAAGGAGAAGGAAATACACGTGGAGGTGTCACACGAACTGGCACATCCCAACTTGGAGTTCCAGGACGATGTGCTCAAAACTGACCCCGCGTGGTTCTGTTCTATGGTCTTTGTTACCTCGCTGTACTTGTTGTTAGTTATCGTAGCCGAATTCATTCGTACATAGGTGGTGCACGCAATGATCAGATAAACGTACACTTCATAGTTTAAACGAGGTGCACACACTAGGGGAATCATTATTCTTAACAAGTTGATTTTGCGAATTTGCATGTATTTTGCTGATTTGAGAAATGATAATTAATATCTATTATCTTATATGAAATTACAATATACCAGACTCATTTCGTATATAACTCTCGAATACACAGATTAGTTAGCATGTGTAAAGCTTGTACGTGTGGTCTATACTCTCGTTGTTCTGTATGAATTCACCGCTTACATTGGCATACTATCTGCCTGTCACTGCTCAGGAGCCAATAAAAAGCTTCTACTTAAAAAAAGATGTCCATCGAGCATGCACAATTTTAGCTGTCACGACGGTTGAATAATATAGCACATTATATTTTTTACATAGCAATGTAAATGTATTGTTCTCCCTTGATATTTGAGTTGATGGAGATAATTGAATAGTTTACTCCTAGCGTGCAACTATTTGTTTCGTCGTTCCTGCCATAGTCAAACTAATTGCATTTCAAAAATAGTGACATGTATGTTTAATAAAAGAAGCATGCGCCAAGAAAAAAAATTTGACTAACAATCTTTTGTGAACTGATCAAATATTACTGATATACCATTATCTGTATTAAGCAACGCAATGCAAATATGTCCTCTTTGTATTAGCGAGCATGGTGGTGTTATGATGCATCTACAATTTAAAATTACTACTGGTTCATTAGGTTTCAGTCGATTGAGGCGCCTCGTCACTGGGAAAGGAATGAAAGTGTAAACATTGTATGGGCGGTTCCTATGTTGTTGTTTTTTTTCACGAAGTATATGGTGTCATTCAGATCCACATTATGACGCACAATGTAGTACAATATCAATGTTCACCACATTATGACGCACAATGTAGTACACTGTCAAGGTTCACCACATTATGACACACAATGTAGTACACTATCAATGTTCACCACATTATGACGCACAATGTAGTACACTATCAAGGTTCACCACATTATGACGTACAATGTTGCCAACTATCATTATCGCACCTCGGACAAAAATGTCCAAAAAACATTGGTTTAGAGCTGTCACGTGGTGACCCTCTAATTTTCTATAGAGGGTCAGTAGGATTCCATTATAGGGCAATATGGCCGCCCATTGCTCACCGCTTCAAAACTAAAACAACAGATACGGATACCTGAATATTCTAAAAATGATACAATGCTCACCGTAATTCCTACTCGCTACATTGTATCGTAAGATGATAGGAGTAACAATGGAGAGATTTGGGCAGACGACCAGTGAGGAAATAAACACGAAGCGACTTAACAGTCAATCTGCTAAATATTCATATTGTTTTGTTATGCATTACATCATTTTCATTTTAAGCATAAAGGGTCCTTGATGCGACAGCCCTCTCCCCCTATAAATCTTACTGACCCTCTATGGTTCTGTAGAGGGTCAGTAACTGACTATATAACTAATAATGTTCACCACATTATGAGGTACAATGTAGTACACTTTCAATGTTCACCACATTATGACGTACCCGTACTAAAATGAAATTGAGTTGTGGAATGAACACGCGAGCGCATGAGTTTGTAAACCGATTGCTTATGCCCCGGTCACACATTCACGGATCGGACGCCGGATTAGCCACGGATACGATCCGGGATCATTCGTAGCAATCTGCAGGGGTCCGTTGCTGGCCGTATTGCATCCTGGGTTAATCGTAGTAGTATTTCTATATCCGTAGTACATCCTTACTGATCCGTAGTAGAATGTAGTAATCCGTTGTTGACCGTAATAATCCGTAATTATCTGTACTTATTCGAAGTACATTCCCGGCCTCAAGACGCCAAGGATCGTTGTACGGTTAATTACGGTGAACAATGACATGTACTAAAATTAAAATGAGGTTGTGGAACGAACACGCGGGCGCGGGAGTTTGTATACGGATTGCTTACCGTGGAGAGGTCCATGGCGCTTCGTGCGAGTTCGCACTTCGTACTAAAACCGTAGTGAACCGTTGTGAAACCGCAGTGCATACGCCGTGACACGTGTCATTCCGTACTTAACCGTAGCAATCCGTAGCACTCCCCGTCGTCAATTAGCCCTTTTACGTAGTCAAACCGTGTTGCATCCGTAGCGGACCAAGGATATAAACTATTCCGGGGTCATCCGTGAGTTTCCAACCGTAGTGGATCCGGCGAAACGATCCGTAAATGTGTGATCGGGGCTTTACCGTTGCAGGTCCATAGCGCTTCGTGCAAGTTCGTACTATTCGAATTCCCTGCCACACCGTTCTAATTCGTGCTTACCCGTACTAAAATCGGAACGAACTCTTGTTAACCGCAGTGCATACGCCGTGCCACGTGTTATTCCGTACTAAACCGTACCGAACCATAGCAACCCGTATCACTCCCTATTGCCAACTAGCCCCTATTCGTAGTCAAACCGTGTTGCATCCGTAGCCGACCACGGATATAGACTATTCCGGGTTTCCATCCGTAGTGAATCCGGCGAGACGATCCGTAAAAATGTGAACGGGGCGCTATTAAAGTCAACATAGATATCTCCAACTCAATCGTCCTAAGTATGCATGCTAAAAATAGTGTATTATCATACATTGCACATTCAAACCACTGTTCGGCCATCATGGAAATGATAGTTCTCCTACTCACAGAGGTAAAGCGTCCCTTCAGTTTGGTATGAGACGAAGTAAAGCAGAGAAAAGAGACATTAACTGAAAGACGTTTTGATGAGAGAAACTATAAAAGTAGTCAGAAACACGTTTTGAGTTTTTCAAATCCGTTTTCAAGAAACTCCACGTCATTTAGGTAACAGTTTTACAATAGATCTGATCGAACTGAGAATACATTATTGTGTGGTGTAATGTTTCTTAAACATAAAACAAAGCTGCATTTGTTTGGAAGTGGAACAGACAAATAATAAATGCTAAATTTTAAAATTACGAAAAATGCATACAGATTCAGTATGGCAGTGCATCACTCGAATAGTGTTGTAACTCATGATGTTTTACTTTTTCTTCAGCATCATCCTGACCATTTTAGCCGTTGCATATTCTGTGTCATTGGCGTAGAAATGAAAACCAAACCATGGATTCGTAGGCTTTGTTTGTCATGTATTTCCCGAACAGATTGGAGTCTAATCACTTGTTATACCACCAACTGAAGTGGTTGATATCATTGTCGTTGTCAACCATAGGTGGGGAAAGGCCGACCATTGTGGTAACCAAGGGCGTCATCTATCATTTTACACGCAAAGAATGATTTTATTATGAAATTACACGCAATTTGTGCATCAAGCTTAGCTTCAATACGCATAGCATTGTTATCAATTCCGTGTGTTTAGTTGAATTTTGTTCGTTGAAATTGATAAGACAGCTTTTATTTTCTTAAGCTTTATAAACAGATTGAAACTAATAAAAAGTGTGTTGCAAATGTGTATGACAAAACCCAAGGTATTCATTTCGGAATGTCAACTTACATAGTCCGTCTGACGAGCTGTATCCGCCAATAGTCAAAGTGTATTCAGAAGCCTCGTCAGAAATATCGAAAGTATCGTATTCTACATGTTTAAGAGGGCCACTCCATCCTTTGAGTTCAATCCGAAGGTTCATATTTTGGGCTAGCAGTAGTCTTACATTCTCGAAACCTAAGGTAATGAACACACAAATATGTCATAGAAGATTGTAACTTATCTATAATTAGCTAAGTACCTTCAAGTAATCTGGCGTTTCTGTTGTTTTATTTTTATCATGAATACATAATCATATCAAGGTCACAGACATGAAAAACAATATTTGTATACAAAAAGGAAACTTTCCAACAATTTTTGTAAATTTGAATCTTTTTTTTTCAGATTTGTTTTAACTGATATTAAGGATAAGCATAATGCTATTGACTTTCAGGTTACTATTATGACCTCATACCTAGCCAGAACTCTTCAGTCAAAATTCAAAACCATTCCTGTACTCATTCCAGGACTTGTAAAAGTCAACTGATCCGTCATATCTGCTGGCGATAATCTGGTGGATGAATGTAAATATCGTTATAGAAAATACAATTTCAATTTTAACTGTTGCTAGTTTTTTTTTGTTTCACAAAAATCATTTCAATTTAAGATTATTTTAACGGTACCATTAATAGGAAATATTTGATTTAAGCTTGTATTAATTAAAAATAAGATGATATAAATAAGTAAATAAAAATGAAAAAGTAAAAAATACATATATCAAATAAGTTTGAAACAAGGTAATTGGCATGTAATTCCGGATGATGTGATATACACGTTGAGGTACTCCGAACAACTCACCGTCCACGGTCCTCCAGCTGTGTCCATATCACAAAATACATCAACGTTACTGCCGGCAGGTGTAAGTGTGTACACTCCTGAACAATGGATTGTGGGGACATCTCCACAGTTATTCAAAGCTTAGATTAAAATAGAAAATAATTTGAAACAACAATAACCCCGATACTATTAAGCATATTCATATAACATGTTCACAAATATAGTCAGCAACTTTCGACTATCAAAATTTGCCTAATACATAAATAGAAAATTATTTACAAAATAATTGATTGAAAAAATACAAGTCGGAAAACAATATTAACAGAAATGAGAATATTATACAATTATAGACTTTTATGCTGGTGAATATGATGTGATATGAAACAGAAAAAGGTGATATTGACCAAGGCGAAGCCGAGGTTAATATAACGTTTTCAGGTTCATATCACATCATATTTTCCAGCACAAAAGCCCATAACTGTTTTGTTATATGCCTGTTATAGTATTGTAATTGTTGTTTAGGCTATATATCAACTAAACATTATGAAATGTCCCCTAATCCTTAACCCAGCGGAGACACAACGATTCTGCAGGTTGTCCCAAATAGCATATTCATACAAGCAAGCTGTGGGATACAACACATTTATTCTTATTCCGAACCGACACAGGCAAGGAAC